GGCCAGAAGAAGGCATCAGATAACTCAGGATTGGAGTTAATAGATGGTTGTGAGCTGCCTTGTGGATTCTGGAAACTGAACTTGGGGCCTCGGGAAGAACCCGTGCTCTGAACTGCTGAGCCATGTCTGGCCCTTGCCTGTCACTCTAAAGTAAGGCTGGTGGCTTTGTGATTTCCTTTTAATCTACAACGAGCTTCATGTTTAAAACAGTATTTCCCTTTTTCTCCCATTTAAAAAAAAAATGATTAAAACTAAAAACTGGTAGGCATACCTGTCTTAACTCTTGGACTTCGTCCTTTAATGCGTACACCGTGTCCACAAGGCTCCTGGAACAGGAAAGAGTAAGCACGTGAAAGGTGGTGGGAATGCCAAGGATGCCGGCTGGCAGGGCCTCCGGGGCTGCTGACTAAGTCTTCTTATCTAAATTCCTAACTCCAGAGCAGCCGGACTGGGTGCCTCGGGCTAACCTCCAGCCTAGGCCATCACCATCAGTGACACTGCGCCCAGCCTCCAGCCGTTTTAGTTAAGACTACCCCCCCAACGGGCAGGGGAGGGGAGCCGGCCACACAGGAAGGAAACGCCTTACTTTTCCTCGATCACGGTCTGCCCATTGCTTCTGGTTTCTTCAACTATAATTTTCTCTTCTTCTGGAAGCAGCACTTGTGGAGCAGACTCCTTACGTGAACCTGGTCGTTAAAAAGAAAAGTCCCGTGTGAGTGCCGCGGCAGGACCAAGGGAGGGCAACTACTGTGCTACACATCCCTTAGACACCCAAGGCCAGTGGCTACACGTTAAAACCTTTGACCAGGTTTATCCAGCTGTCTGCTGGTGTGGCCAACCAAAGCTTTACAGAGGAAAGAAAACAGCAACAGAAAAAAACGTAAAAATAGCCTCTTTTGCAACTTATTAAACTCTTTTAACTACAGAAATCTCTAACAGCAAGTACACTAAAGGTCTGACCACACCGCACTCAATACACAACCATTTAAATTTAAAACCATTATTAGATCACTCCAGAATCGCTGGAGAGACCAGACCAGGAAAGAACGCATAATTCTTGTGCTTATAACTGAAAAGCTCTTAGAAATTACAAAAAAAGGTGAAGGCCTGGAGAGGCAGCTCAGGGTTAACAACGGAAACATCAAGGAAAGACTGTACGTGTTCAGTTACGTCTATAACACTGTACACATCATTTTAAAAAGTGAGATTTATGGTCTGATCTCTGTGAATTCTCTCGCCCCCTTGAACACACACAGCTCTGAATGGGAAGGAAGCACACTACCCACAGCGTCAGAGGCACATGGCCCTGGCACAGATGCTGACCGGTGACCACCTCCTGTGACATGCACTGTGCGCCAGACCCTGGCCTCCAAGGGCAGGTAGCAGGAAGAAGGATCACACGATGTGCTTTGAGCACTTGCTGCTGAGCAGCACCACCAGGTGCAAACAGGAGGAAGGATGGATTCTGCCGCACAACAGGTTCACCTGCTCACGGCTGTGCCTGTCTGCACACTCTTCTGAGGAAAGCATATGGCGTAAGATGGCCGACTGTGGAAATGGCGTTAATTCGCTTTTGTGTTTCCGGGGTGCCCTTTGTATGACTTCCTGAAAGCACATCAGATTTTAAGGAGCACTTCTTGTGCACCCTTGTTGGCATGGAAACCCTAGAACAGTGTTTGAGAGACGGCACCGTGGGGAGCAGCTTTGCGGGCACTTGAACCCAAGCCTGTGCGTCTCTGGACAAAGCGAGGTGAGTCGCTGCTGTCCAAGCTGACAGCACGGGCTTGTGAAATGTCCCTGGCATGTGGAGCTAGCCATCCACCAGGGCAGCCATGGGGCCTGGGGACTAGCCTCAGGCACATCTCCCCAGGCCATCTTCTGTGTATCTGCCAAGTCTGCTGCACTGGAAGGTGCTGGATCAAGCCCATGATCCAGGAGAGGAACTGGAAACACCCGGGGAGCTCAGGACTGGCAATTTAGCCATGTCTGTGCCACACGGCACAATTTTGCCCATGAAAGAAGCAGGCAGGGCGAGGTAGGCCAGCCTTGAATCCCACCTGAGTAGTTGAAACGCTGTCAACATCCTAGTGTGCTCTGAGGACACGCACATGTTACTTTGTGAAAGACTATCTCAAAGATGGCCATCCTACTCTTAGAGGGGGTTACATCAGTAGGCTCTGGTGAGGCCACACCATTTATCTTTCCCTTGGTGCCCCCAGTCCTGGAGATGCAGGGCTCTAAGATGCAATCCTAGAGAGGAATGTGTTTTTGAAAAACACCAGCAGGCCGACAATGTCAGCCCCACCCCACCCCATGCAGGGTCCAACTGACAGGCAGACGTCCCTTCTGGACAGCCTCCTTGATATAGAGGAGCCCACTCAGGCTCTCTGCTGTTGAGCACTGACAGACATATGGATCACTCGGGGAATACAAGAGAAAGCACCACGCATGAGGGCAGGTGACAAGTGTCTTTTAGAAGAGGTTAGTGGATGCTCACTGTGCCCGAAAAAGTGAGGGTTCCAACGAGTCGGGTGTTTGAGCAGCTGGACCCATGCTCCTTGGTGAAGAGCGCAGCCAGGAACAGCACTTGGGTTAGGTCCGCAGATTCCCCACTGGTATCCAGTGGCCAAGGATACTGCTTGGGCTGAGAGCTGGTGGCTGAGTTGGCGCCAAATTAAAAAGTCTTGATGACTACTCTGTCATATTAAACTCAACAGAGGCTTGAAAAGGAGCAGCAGGTGAGAACGGAGACTTCAGAACTGCACCCAGCAGCAGACGACACGCTTCCTTTCAGTTCTTTAGTCTTTTCTCACGGGACAATTTGTTTCTAGCATTAAAGCGTCCAGAGTGCGTAAGTGACATGCAGGGTGTCTCTGCAAAGCAAGGAGGAACCATGACACCCACACCAGACTGAGGACACTTCCCTGGGGGTTAACTGCAGCTAATCATCGGGGCTCCATGTCCTACTTGGAGTTCTCTACAGAGAGAGCTGTTCTTAGATAGAGGCTCACAGTCTGACAGCCAGCCCTCACCTACAAAGCCGGTTGTAAGTACAACCCTTGAGGTCCACTAAGGAACACAATGGACTAAAGGAACTAAAATTCCATGACCTCAGTTGTCAGTTGAAAACACATGGCAGGGCCTTGGGGTACCAGGCACCCAAGAATTTCAAGGCTAAGGATGGGACCATGTTCCCGGTAGAAGTCACTAGCCGCTCCAGCTTTGACACAAGCAGGGGAACAGTGGCTGGAGGTCCTGACAGCGAGTCACGGGCCTGCAATGGGGTCTGTTAATCTGTAGACAGACGCTGCTAGCTCACCATGTAGCCTTTCAACAAAACAAGGAAGCATAGCACAGCCAGGTTCATAAGCTGGCAGACTATTTTAAGAATTTTTAATTTTCTCAAAGACATTTCTTAACACATTATATCTGAAATATTCTTAGGGCATCACAACACACTTTTCTTGAATACCTAACTCAGAAAAATCATGTAACCGCAGAACTTAAAATCCCATCACAGGAACTTAGATCCACTAGCAAGCTGAGAGCTGTGTTTTGCAAACTGTGGTCTCTGGGGAGATGGAGTCAGGATCTGCTGTGGCTGCATGCAGCCTTCCTGGAGGTTCCCAGCGCACTGTGGGTTTGGGAAAGGCCAGACTTTAATTCAGTCCACCCAAAGCTCCTCATCTAAGCGACGGACTTTTGTGGGTTTTATGGCTAACTGTGAGAGGTGCCAGGTGGTTCCACAGCCCCTAAAAAACTATCATCCTGCCCCTGCTGTTACGATTTCCATGAGCAAGTGGAGTAGAAACAGCACACGGATGACAGAACAGTTCACAATCGGCCCCAGCCTAGCACTGCTTAGGCCGGAATCTCCCCGACAAACCGGCAGGCCGGTGTGTCTTACCAACCTACGTCCTCTGAGTAACCGCTCACAAGGTCATCCTCTGAGAACACTGGCGTGCTGGGGATGCCAGCAGGCTCTAGGTCCTATGGCAACACACACTCACAGATGTGATTCAAGACTGGGAACATGTTCGAAGAAGCAACAGGAACACAAGAGTCAAACACTGGTAGTCTCAGAATCCTGTCCTGCATTGTCAAAGACCGCCAGGCTGTGGGCCTCAGTTGAGAAACAGATCTAACCAAGGAATCCAATTCAGAGCAGACTGTGCCTAGGCTGCCACAGCCAAGGATCACTCCAGGGCACTCCCTCATGCCAGGGACCATGGGGTGACATACAGCTGTGAGACTCAGCAATCACGTCAGTTGTGAACTCCTACCCCGTGTGAGGTCTGTTAAGTATGTGGGCATGCACATCACATGTGTGTCTGCCTGCACCCAAAGCAATGACTACCTAAGTCTGTCTCAAAAGAGCATCAGCCATCTGGCCAGTGCCTGAAACACTTGTGACACGCTCCTACACTTGACTCAACTCAACTGACACTACTTTCAGGAGGAGACCAAGCATTACCCTGAGAGATCTCTCCAGTAGCACTCCAACCACACTGCTGCACTGTCCATGGGTCTGAGATCTGGATTAGCTTTTTCCATAGAGGAATGGCTTTGTCTTCTCACCTAGGCATGCACTTCACAGAACAAGAGGGAAATGCTGGCCCTGGTCCAAACGAAGGACTTAAAGGCAGAGTTTCTTTTCACCTGTAAGAGGGAATGCTGTTTCTGACTGAGGACAAGCTTTGCCAGAACAGGGAAACAGGAAGAAAACAGCTGGGCCTGGAGGTGCATGCCTTGGATCCTCCCTTCTAGGGAGGAAGACGTGGGCAGAGAGAGCTCTGTGAGTTCAAGGCCAGCCAGGGCTACATAGGAAGCCCCACCTTGTACTATTTAGAATGCATCTCACCTAAGAAAGTGCCAGTCCTCTCTCACAGCAGACCGAAGGCATGCCCAGGAAGATGCCAGCTCGAGAGGATGGCCACGGCACACCCAGCTTCAAACTATGCTATTCCCTCCCCCATGTAACAAATGTAAAAGCCAAGGGCTAGCAAATGCAAAATTTATTTCAACTGTACAGAACAGATGTCTTTTTAAATATAAAACAGACACTTCATTGCCATATGCAAGCACAGACAGTAGGCATACTGTACAATACAATGCAACATTCAGATATACATCCAAGGGAGTTTCCAAATGGGAGTCTGGTACTAAAATGGCTTTTCCCATTCACAGATAAAGAGCACAATATATAGATTTCCCCAAGATCTTATACCACTATGTACACATTATTGTGTTTTGGCAATTTTATGCCGAACACAGGATTAACGTAGCTTAGGAAAGACTTGTGGCAAGGACCAGTTAGACGGGACACTGCTGAGCCACCTGCAGGCGGCCCGGGATGGCTTGGACCTACCTTCTTGCTCAGTCTGTATTCTTCCGTATCACACTCACTGTACACGGCTTACAGAGCTGCAGAAACGTTAGACACTATCAGCATGACTACAGTTCCACAGATGTAGAAAGGATGGCCCCTCCAGCGCTGTGTCCCCTCTGCCACACAAGGACCATCTCCTGTGCCTGTGGCACTAACACACTTCTAACCAGGTCACAAAACCAATGTCAGACATTCAAAACAAATGCAAAGAAAAGTTTGGGCTGCTGTTCCACAGCATTGGCCTCAACAAAAAAACGCCATCCACGGGCTCTGACTGGTACGAAAGGATCCAGGGCAAACCGTGAGGACTGTGCTTCACAATACCGACAGCGACTGTCACTTCTCGTGTGTGAAAACCTCAAGTACAGCTGTGCCTCCCTGTTGTACCACACCGCTTAGGACAGGCAACCCATGCTAAGGTAAGGCAGGGCAAGCAGCCTGAGGCAGTTAGCAGAGACAACCTCGGAGTGGGATATGACAGCAGAGCCGTTTCTGTCACTGTATGAAATCAAATCAACACAGACATTGTATGTTTTGTTTTCAAAAGTCCCATTTGCTATTTGGCAGAATCTACACAAACTTCATTTCCACTGAAATTAATACTGGGTGCCAGTTTGAAAAGCTTGCTCCTTGACTTCCTTATAGAAGTCCAAACTCTTGAGGGGGAAGAGCAGCTCTGCAGCCATGAGGAACAGACAGACTGGGTGTGGGGCTGTGCTGCCCAGCGGCCCCAGGCCAGCCCGCCCGCCCGCCATGCACACGCCCCTCTATTGGCAGCAGCAGGACCCAGCTCCCAGGGGAGGAGCAAAGGGGACACAATACTGGATACGCAGGCTTGGCAAGGAGGGCTAGGGGTCAGAGGTCATGGCCACTAGAGCTCATCCCCTGGAGGATGGAAAGAGCACCCTTCTCCACTCGCTGTGGCACCGTTTCTGAAGCAGATGTCAAGGACCACCCTGTAGACAGCGCTGCCAATCAAGCAACAGCCAGGTGTGGTCTGCTGCTGCAACTGAATCAAGTCACACTCCGTTCTTTCTCAGGGCAGTGAAAACTCCTCCCAACAACCCCCGGGAGAGGGGCGGGGGGGTAAGGGCCATCTCCCAGGCCAGCGCGTGGGAACCTATTCGGTCTTTGAGACTGCCCTGGAATGAAGTGCCGGGGTGAACTACAGGATTGCTGGACACAGAGTTTCACTGCAGCTGGTGCTCAAAGCTACAGGGTACGCGTGGCTCTCGCAGACAGCCAAGTGTGGACGTGGGGCAGCCGGGCTGCAGCCAGGCCAAGCACTCAGCCGAGCACCTCTCTGAACACAGCTGAGCTGCACGGGCAGCGACCGAAGCGGCCGCCTCCGAGTGCAGACTCGACGGTGCCCCACACTGCCCATTACTGCGGTTCAGGGAGGTGTGGTGTGATAGTGGAGGTCGCAGCCGTGACGGGGAACTCACCTTCAGAAGGGGAGCTCTCACCTCACAGCCATGGCGCACATGAGAAGGCACAGAGCAGTGGGTGGAGACAGACTCCAGACTCTGCTCTCCACACCCAGTGGCACCAGCCCTGGTGTGCGTCTGCCAGGCACGGAGTCCATGGAGCATTCTGCACCATCACCAAAGCAGCTGGCTGTCAGCCGACTCGGTGCTTCAGTTACAGAAACTCCTTCAGCCTCTCCACAGCTACGTGGTCAAGTGCATTACACATTTAAAAAAAAAAAAAAAACCAAACAAAACAAAAAAGCAAACCTAGATCCCTATGTGTAAGGCTAGAGTCTCCTCCGTTGTGGCACTTGGATGCAAACCTATGCGGTTGCATAAACTAGAAAAGTGTCCATACGGCTGTATCCGAGAGGAAGTGAAACAGTTGCTACGTGGAGAATTAAAATCCAAACCTTCTGGGGCTTGTTTAACCCTCCCTAACAGGAAAAGCCCTCGGGTGCAGACTCTGGACCACCACCTCCCTCCCACAGGCAGCAGCTGAACACGTTCTCAGATTGGCAATTGAGCCTCCACTAGGTACAATGGGAAATACCAAGACACTCTCCAGAGTTGTTAAAATATCACATAAGAGAGACAAGGAACAGCAAGAAACGTCTAAGAAAAGCAGGCTGCGATACAAGCATCGTTAAGAAAGGCTCAGTGCGTTAGTTCTGGTGAGAGATATATGAGCAGCAGCTCTTACGGGATGCAGAACCCATTCTGTAACTATGGGCTGTCCATATACTGTCATACTCAGAGTCTTCCGACAGGTCTGAGGGCTCCAAACGAGAAAGGCTACTGCGACGACCCAAGGAGTCTAGACTTGATTGGTCGTCATCAGCCAAGACGTGATTATGCATCAGGTCAGTGCCTTGCCATGCTAAGACGGGATGGAGTGACAGGTGCGACAGGCAGAGGGGTGAGGAGGACGGACAGGAAGAGCCACAACCAAAACATGGAACAAAAGCAAAAGGTGATGGGAAGAGAAGGGAAAGAGAAAATATTGTTACAAAACGGCAACACGTTTGTTTCTCCTTATTAACTGCTGGGTTTCTACAATGAACTCAGCACAACCCTCAGATCAAACCCAACCAATCACTTCAGTGAGCCCAGCACAGTCCTCCTGCAAAGGACTCACTGTATCTCAGCTAAAAACGATACAGTGCATTCATGTCCAAAACACGGTTCTGTAACACTTGGCAATTAACCGACTCTCTCAACACTCTTATTTAGGACCTAAGTTATAAAACGGTACTAACCGTGTGGCTAACTAAGCATTAGTCCCTATTCTGGAAATGACACACTAAATACAAAGCTCCCTCACCGGACTTTGTCGCTCCTCAGAGCCATCGTCAGCAGGGGCCTGAACTTACCGTGTCAGTCTACGGCCTGCCCAGCACCAGTCTGAATGCGGAGCAAAGGACCCTGGTGTGGCTCTTTACCATCAGGGAGGCGAATACAAACTGGCAATGCCACCATGGAAAGGGGGTGACAGGAGGCAGTGGCAAGGGAAAGGGGCAGAACTCCATGCATGGTTAGCAATGTGAGCGTGAGCTGGTCAGCAGCTAGGGAGGCATGCAAGGCTGAACAGGGCTCCTGCAGGGGAAGCCACAGGGAAGCCTCGGCAGCCGAAACAGGCTGCCTTCCAAGTCGTGAAGGCCATTCCTTCTGAGACGGAAAACAATGCCAACTGTGCTCGGTTTGCAACATCCCCTTGGCGTCCAAACAGGGACTGAACAGAGCGGAGCTTTGGGGAACAACAGATCGGCCTTCTCAAAATGTTGGCGAGGCACTTACTGTGGAAGTGTGTTCACTAGGAACCCATTTCCAACGCCCTCACCAACCACATCACCTGTCCAGCACAGACTGTGCCCGTCCTGTGCCTCAGCATCCGGGGGGCAGCCACGCATGACTGCACCGCTGAGGCTCTGGGGTGCAGGCTGGGATGCAGGCTGGGATGCAGCACGTCAACGAGAGCAAACTCAGCACAGTGGGCAGGGCTTTCCCCGCCTGGAAAGAACGGAGTGCAGAGCATGGGCCGGGCGGGAGAGAGGCTCTGCACCAACGACAGGCTGCCCTACTCAGGCCGCCCAGGCAGGAAGCCACGGCTCACCTCGGGGCCCTGCCTTCTGCCCAGAGGGAATATGGCCTGTGCCACCCTCTGGAGTTCACAGATCTGCCGTGCTCATCTGAGACTACAGGCTGGGGAATCCCTGTTTCAGTTTAAGCACTTGAAAGGGGGGTGACTGATCTAAAACTACAAATCCGAATCTATCAAACTGTTGGCTATGGTTACAGCCTATCACAACACAATCATTGTCAAGTATGGAGATGTAACACTTGAACTATCAAAATCATATTTGTGAGTTAACATTCAACCATCCCAATACATATCACATGTATACATAGTACATGGCTTGCTGGGGACCCAAGCCTCCCCATGGCTCTCCCACTCTACTAATCAGTTACAACTGGTTCTTTCCCAGAGATGGCAGGGACAAAAAGGGACCTCGCTGACCCCTAACAAGACCTTAACGCCATAAGCAGCCAACAGTGCGGTGCCGCAAAAACACCCCAAGTGGAGGAAGAAACGTCTAGTCACCGGCAGTGCCACCTGGGGCCTAGCCTGCTGCACAAGCTGGCAGAGCAGCAGGCGACTTGACAAGAGTTGAGGTGGCTGAAAAGTCCCTTCCCACCTTCTCTGTCTTTCCAAGGCTGGCCAGACACAAATCTGAGCCACCCTGTAGGTGTTAAAGAAGAGGTGGAAAGGTGTCTCTCCAAAAACTGGCGTGGACAAGGGGCAAGATAGGAGATCCACAGTAAATGGTTTCTATGCCCCATAGTCAGTTCCAAAAGAGACAGGGAAGAGACCGCTAGGCTCCACCTGCCCATCAAAGGGCAGTGGCCTCTGAGTCAGGCAGTGCTCCTGGATGCTGCCACACTGTAGACCCCACCTGTGGGGAGGTAAGAGCAACAACCACCTGGACTCTGCCAAAGAAATTACCATTGTTTATTTAAAAATATTAAAAACAAAGTAAAAAATTTAAAGACGATAGAAATATGGCTCTAGACTTGAATTTTAGATTATTTTTAAAAGCTTAAAAAAAGCCCCAGGCACACACACCATCAAAGAACGAAAGTAAACAAAGGGACCTCCACTGCCTGCCTTCCGCATGCCGCTGGACAATGCAGGCCTCCCAGTGGATGCGGGCACCTAGGACACAGCCCCGGGGCACTCGGCCACGCCACTGGCTCAGCCCCTGAACCCTCCCTAGAGAGCAGCTAGGTCCGTGGAGCAGCTGCTTGCAGACTGCGCCACCGGGGTGAAGAGGGACACTCACTTGAGTTCAACGTCTGCCGCGTCTTTGCACTGGTGCAGTAAGCCTCGATGACCTTCAGGATCTGCGCATCTTCTTCCAGAGCAGCTGTGCCTGTTCAGAGACACGGGAGCCATGACCACTCCACACGCCCCAGAACCATGCCGCAGTTAGGGTGCCAGCCTTCGCCTTCCCCTTGCTAATCGCTAAGTTCTTTAAGTAGTTATAGATAGGTATATTAAAGAGCTTCTAAGGTTTTGAAACTAACACACTACAAAGGGTTAGCAGCACGACTCTGTAGCGTTCTAAACCCCTCAGAAAAGAAGGTCCTCCATGACACACCAGAAACAGCAGGAGACTGGAATACGCAGCCCACGGAGACACGTAATCCATGGAGACAAGAGCAGCAAAAAGACACCAAGTCTCATGAAGAGAGGAAGCAAGACTCAGCCAAGCAGCCCGGTTTCACAGCCTGGGCCTCCACACAGTGTGGACAGGAAAGCTGTGCAGAGTACAGACAGGAAACTTCTAAAAAGGCAGATCATCGGCCTTCAAAGGGACATTCCCTCTGACCTAGGAATTCCCACTCAGACACTAATGAAGGAAATTTACCATGCCAAGCACAGAGATGCCTCAAAGCCCTGCCTTCAGTGTGCCCCTGAGCGCCAGCTTCCTCTCCAGGCAGAGACCAGAAGAAGACGTGAGGCCGTGGGACCAGACACAGCCCCTCACCATCACTGTGCTCAGAGAAGGGTGACCCGTGGAAGGAACCCACTTGTCTTCTTTATTCTTCTCTTCTGGTTCTCTCCTAGGCTACTTGGCTATGTTGGTTTTTAAGTTCACCTATTCTAATAAAAACACAGAGGACTACCAGGCTGATATTCTCATAGCTGTAAATAATTGTGCCTCAGTAACTTTTATGTATGTATTTCTTTGAGACAAGGTCTCACGATGTAGCCTTGACCAGTCTAGAACTTGCTACGTAAGCCAGGCTGACCTCTGCACTGACAGAGATGTGTCTGCCTCAGTGTCTTGAGTGCTGGGATTAGAGGTGTGCACCACCATGTCCAGTTCTCAGCAACGTTTTAAGGAAGTAAACTGTATATAAGGCAAACCAAATCTTTACTTCAAGACAGTGGACTGCAGTCCCGAAAGCCGAAAGCCCGAAACCCACCACCTGGAACATGTCATTAGGCAGGTTCCCACAACACATGGCTACCTCACAGAACCAGGTTCCCACAACACATGGCTACCTCACAGA